CCGGTGGGGGGGGCGACGCTGCTCGGCCTGGTGGGAGGGGGAGGGGGCAGGGGGGGCCCTGTGCTGCTCGTTCCGGTGGGGGGGGCGACGCTGCTCGGCCTGGTGGGAGGGGGAGGGGGCAGGGGGGGCCCTGTGCTGCTCGTTCCGGTGGGGGGGGCTGCGCTGCTCGGCCCAGCAGGAGAAGGGAGAGCGGCAGGGGGGCCCTGCGCTGCGCGGCCTGGCGGGAGGGGGGAGGGCAATGGGGGTGCTGCCCGGGATGGTTGTGCTGGGATCCCTCCCCCACCCACACTCGGTGACCCTGGTGCGCAGATCTGGGGGAGCAGTGGCTGAGGGGCTGGGCGTGTGGGGCCGGGCGGCAGGACCCGGTGACATGTGACACCCCCCTTCTGTAGCCCTAACCATCATCATCACGGAGTGGAGAACCAAGTACCGGCGGGACATGAACTCCCGCGACAACGAGGCCAAGGCCCGGGCCGTGGACTCACTGCTCAACTTCGAGACGGTACCGAGTCCCTGGCGGGGCCTTGGGGAGATCCACCCTGGGGCTGAGCTCCGGCCTGGGGTGCTGGGGGGGGCAAGGGCAGGTCTGGGGAGGTGGTGGCTGAGTGTGGGGGCTCCGGCGGCATGGGGCAGAGAGTGTGACGGTCCTGAGCCCTGGGGGCAGGTGGGGGGCCGGGGTCGGGCAGTCTCCAGGGAGGGGGGACAGGGAGCGGTGGGTGGGTGGGAGGCTGGTGCTGAGGTGTGGGGGGCTGGGGTCGGGCAGTCTCCAGGGAGGGGGGACAGGGACGTGAGCCCAGCAGGGAGCGGTGGGTGGGAGGTGGATGTCGGTGCTGAGTTCGGGCTCCATGTGTTTCAGGTGAAGTATTACAACGCGGAGAGCTATGAAGTGAATCGATTCAATGACGCCATCCTCAAGTACCAGGTGCTGGGGGGCTGGGAGGGGCGCCCATCCCTGAGCCTAGCTCCCCTCACCGCCCTGCACTGGGAGATGGGGCAGTTGGCAGCCCCAGGGGGCTAAGCATGACCTCTGCGTTGCAGGGGGCAGCCCTACAAGGGGAGCCCCAGCCACCCGCACCCCATGGGGTTTGCCAGCAGATACATTGTAGGGGGGCGAGTTCAGCTCAGAGGTGTGGAGGGGGGGTCTGGGGGGTGGCAGTGGGTTGAGCCTGGGGCATGCTGAGGAAGTGGCTCTGGGGGGGAAGGGGGGCCCTGACACTCCCTCCCCCCCCCGGCAGGTCTCGGAGTGGAAGGTCAATGCCTCGCTGGCCCTGCTGAACCAGACCCAGAACCTGATCATCGGCCTGGGGCTGCTGGCGGGGTCCCTGCTCTGCGCCTACTTTGTGACTGAGAAGAGGTTCCAGGTGAGCCTGGGGCCAGCCCGTGCCCCCCAGGAGTCCTGGCACATTCTGGGCCACGAGCCCCCCCCCGGCCAGCTCTGACCCAGCCCCCACCGCTGCACCCCAGCTGGGTGCCCCTGACCCCTGCCGGCCTGGGGGAGCCAGGGGTGGGGGCTGCGGCTCCAGCTCTGATGGGCGTCTCTCCCCATCTCTGCCAGGTGGGGGACTTCGTCCTGTTCGGCACCTACATCATCCAGCTCTACACGCCGCTCAACTGGTTCGGCACCTACTACAGGTAACGCCAGCGTGGGAGAAACCCACCCGAGCCAGGCCATTGGGCCAGCCAGCCTGTAGCCCCGCCCCTTGCTGCATGGATCAGGCCATTGGGCCAGCCAGCCTGTAGCCCCGCCCCTTGCTGCACTGGATCAGGCCATTGGGCCAGCCAGCCTGTAGCCCCGCCCCTTGCTGCATGGATCAGGCCATTCGTCCATCTAACCTGGTAGCTCCGCCCCATGTGGCAGATCAGACCATTGGTCCATCAGGCCATTGGTCTGCCAGCCCCCGTTGCGCTGGCACCTTGCTGGTGAAATCCCCCTCGAGGTGTGACCAAGGTAGTTCCCCCCTCCCCACACCACAGGGCTGAGGGGGGCGGTGGCCCCTGTCCCATCGTCACCTGCCCTGTCCTCCGCCTGCAGGATGATCCAGAGCTCCTTTATCGACATGGAAAACATGTTCGAGCTCTTCAACGAGGAGCAAGAGGTGGGTGCCCCGCCCCCTGCCTGAGCTCCACCCCCAGGAGGGGCCACACACACCCTGCCAGGCCCCCTGCCCCCCAGCTTCTCCCCTAGGAGGTGGGTGCCCCGCCCCCTGCCCTCAGCTCCACCCCCAGGCGGTGGGTGCCCCGCCCCCAGCAGATCAGCTGCTTCTCTCCACAGGAGATGAGGGTGACTCCCCCCAGCCATCACCCCCCCTCACAGGTCAGGCAGCTCCTCTGGCTCCACCTGGGGCTCTGGTCCCCCTGCGCTGGTCCCTTGGGTCTGCTCTGCGCTCCCTTCCCCCCACCGCGTCCGGGAGCGACAGTGCAGGGACCGGCCCGGGGGGAGGCAGGGCTGTGAGGCCGCGTGTCTCTGTCCCGCAGGTGAAGGACGAGGTGAATGCAGGGGACCTTCGCTTCCGCTCAGGGCGCATTGAGTTCGAGAATGTGCACTTCAGCTACATGGACGGGTAGGGGGGCGTGGAGCCAGCACAGGGATCAGGGGTGGGGCAGGGATGGGGACTACAGGGTGCAGTGGGGATGGACGGGTACAGGGATCAGGGCTGGGCAGTAGGGAGTGGGGATAGGGCGTGGGGCAGGTACAGGGATGGAGCCGTGGGGCGGGTACAGGGCTCAGGCGTGTGGGGAGGAGGAGGGCGTAGGGTGCATTCAGGGCTGGGTCATGTGGGGAGGAGGGGGGTGTAGGGCGCATACAGGAATGGGGAGTGCGGGGTGGAGGGAGGAGGGGGTGTAGGGCGCGTACAGGGATGGAGTATGCGGGATGGAGGGAGGAGGGGGCGTAGGGCGCGTACAGGGATGGGGAGTGCGGGATGGAGGGAGGAGGGGG